TCCGTCACCCTCTCCTCGCTCTCCGTCTCCCTCTGCTCCCGCGGCCGCGTCCTCTGCTCCTTCAACGTTCCACCCCATCTCACCGTAACAACACCGATCCGGCTCCAAAGTTCTGATTTTTGATTCGGAATCTGCTGGAAATTTGGTCACTGATTGGGTTTTTTTGGGGGAACCGTAGGATGAGCAAGGAAATTGGCACGCTGGGGCGATCGCTGCGTTGATTGATGATGTTGGGGCTGCTGCGATCATGACGGTCGTTGGGCACATCAAGATCTCCGTTGACTTCTCCATTTCCTATTTCTCTCCTGCTGCGAAGGTCGATGTAAGTGTTATATGTGAATTTGTTCTTCGCTTGTTTATTAGCACTTTTTAGCTCTCAGTTTTATGACAAAAATGGGGGATTGACTGTAATTTATCTTCTTAAAATGTTTTTAACTTCAGGATAAATGCTAATAAACGAGTCGGGGAGAGGATAAGTACGGTTGTCGGGATTCTTATAATTATCCGAAAAAAAGTAGGATAACTACAGGGAGGACTCGGACCCTCTCCAATTAGGCTCAGTTTGTTACCGTGCATCAAAATACAATCCATGAACCAAACAGTCCCTTAGGTGATAAGCAGAGGGTATCCAATTCCTCTAATCTTTACCTTTTATCTCTAACTCAAAGGGAAAGAATAATGCCACATAGGATTAACCTAACTAAACTAGTTGTTTTGAAAACTAACATGGTGGATTTGGTAGATATTATTAATTTTTTTTTATAAGGGTCTGTTTAAATTAATGTTTTGTGTAAATGTGGGTATTTATGATGCCCCATAGAAAGTGGTTGTCCACCTCACGACTTTCCATTTGGGCTTTTACATTGTTTGGTTTGGATTCCTTGTGAATCCTAAATGATGCTAATACCATTGTTTGGATTGGATGATGTACGCTTGAAAAGGGTAGTATGTAGAACCCATTCAAAAGGTTTATTTACCATGGGTAAAAGATTACCTCTATAAAAATAAAAAAAATCTAACAACTCAATTTATTTCTCAACTCTCCATAACAAAAGAATACATTCTTGAATTTTAAAAGGGTCCAATTGGGTTATTTGCACTTTGATACCTAAAGTTTACACTGGTTTTAACTTAGATAACCCAAAGTTCTTATTTGATGCGTTGAGATCCCAAAGTTTACTTATTTGTTGACTTTGATACCTTATAGTAATTTTTTGACATTTGATGCTCCAAAATTTACAAGTTTTGAACTTTAGTACCCTAAACTTTTGTTTTTGACACTTTGATACCTAAAGTTTGGGCTATCAAAGTTGAAAAATGTGTTAAGCATCGAGGCATTAGAGTTAAAAATTATAAACTTTACAGCATCGGAGTGTCCGGAAAAAATTTTGGGGTAGCAAAGTGAAAAAGCGTTATATGTGTGCATATCCTCAAATAATAAATCTCATTCATTGGTTTAAAAAAGAATTCTTGCTTTGCCAAATCATCTAACTGCATCCAAAAACATAATAGAAAATTTTTCATACAATCAAATACTAAAAGCAAGATCAAGAGTGTAGATGAAGTACCTTAACGGAGAGGTTGGTAAAATATTATTAGATAATTAAAAAAATGAAAAAAAAATAAGTGGCTATATTTTTAATAAACATGCGTGCCTAATTTGAGGAGTTGTAACATATTATTCTAAAATATATTTGTGCAAAACATGCAGCAGCTGTTGCAAGATATCAAGTTAAATCAAACTCAATAAAGAGAGTACATATGTTACTTAGAAAAGAAATGATGAGTTAAATAAATAATGGACGATTTGCACTAGTAAAGGAGGTAAAAAAAAATTTCGGTTTGGGTTAGTTGATATTTTTATTTTCTTTTATTGCTTTGTTGCTGACAAGTTGTCAGCTTTCAGCCCAATTCGGGCTACTTTGGAGAGAATTCCCTTTCTTGAGACAACGCAGCTCAATGTGTGCCACCCTATGATGCACGGATACAGATACGGGACACAGATACGACACAGACATGGATACGAGATACGACAAATCTAAAAAAATAGGATACAGAAATACGACAATGATTTTTTTTTAAAATTATTATTATATATAGATGGAACGTAATACGAAAATCTTGATTTAGTATAAATGAGTAACTTTCTCCTTCAGATTTATGATAATAATATGACGATGAGCTGCTGCTCGAACTCAAAAACCGGAGGAGATGATGATGACATTGGTGGTGGTTGTGCTGGACGGGGAGGAGGAATGGAGGGTGGACTTGAGGAGTCGGAGGAAGGGGTCGATCGGCGGGATCGGGTCGGAACAGCGGAGCGGTCGGCGAGATCGGGTCAGAACAGCGGAGCGGTCGGCGGGATCGGGTCGGAACAGCGGAGGTGATCGAATCGAACGGGAGTGAGCTGAGAAATTAAGAGAGAGGATTAGGGTTAGTGTTAGGGTTTTTTTTCTTTCATTTGAGTCAGCTGAGGATCGAATCGAACGCGAGATTTGAGAAATAAGGATGGGTTTTTAATCGAACGGTTCGGGTTGGATTTTAAATACCAAACCCGTAACCCGCAACCCAAATGAATCGGTCTTCGACGAATCCTAGCCGTGTCCGAGCTCCTTTGACCGTGTCCGAGCCTAATTTGACCGTTGACCCGTGTCGGACACGGATTGACCGTGTCCGACACGTGTCGTGCACGTGTCGTGACGAATCCGTGTCCGATTCGGGTCGGACACGGATTCGTGGCCTTCGGAGGCGAATCCGTGCTTCAGATGTGCCACCTCACATTTTCACATTTGCATCTAACTAGTGTAGTTTTAGGAAAACTAGCAAAAAATCCTATGTGTCAACACTTTCCACCATTTTACCTAGGCAAAAGAGGCAACCAAATAACTCCTAAAGTGAAATATTTCGAAAAACTAAAAAAGAAATCCTCCCTAATCCCTCCAATTATATGCATTGTACAGAGAAATACATTTGCTTTTTGCTATGTGCGTGCATTCACAAAAAATAAAGAAAAAAAAATTTGTTGCTATAGGAATTATACGCATATTTAAAATTCTCACACATAATATAGGAATTATAAATAAGTACAATGTAACTATAAATATAATAAAAGGTGTGAGGAGTTGTTTAGTTGACATCTAGTTGGAGAGTTGTTTGTAGAAATATTTAATTTTGTTAAAAATTAAATAATATCCACCAAATCCACATGGTAGTTTTCAAAACTACTAGTTTAATTAGGGTAATCTTATGTAGTGTTATATTGCTCTTTCAATTAGAGATAAATGGTGGGGATTAGAGGAATTGGATGCCCTCCAATGACCACCTAATCAGAGGGGATCTGAATCCTTATACAGAAACCATATTTCCTTTATATTTTATATATAAACCACCTTTAAACTAGATTTTTGTTGCACTTAACCAACTCTAGTCAAAATTTTCTCTAAAAACAAAAGATTATCCTTTAAAAACTCACATTCAAGATGCATGGCTCATTTTTTTAGTGTTTAGGTCTTGTTAGGATACATTTAATATGCCTTGAACTTAAATTTTAAGCTTATTTTTAGATTTTTAGTAAAAATTTAATTGCAGGTGGTTGATTGCAACAAAAACTTACTTTGAAGATGTTTTTGGTATAAATTGATTATAAGAGATGGTTTCCGTATAATTACTCTATTTTAAGGTGGTTTTTAAGGAAAAAACCTTACTGATAATGATGATTACTTATCCTTAACTTTTAGTTTTTCACTTTAATACACCATTAGTTTACTCCATTCTTGAGTTGGATACTCTAAAGTTTTCTTTGCCCAAAAGTACCCCATGGTTTACCTAATTTTCAGTTTTGATGCACCGAAAATTTCTTTTGCCTAAAAAATACTCCGAACTTAACATAGTTTAAGTTTGATACCCCAAACTTTTACGAAAAAAACCCTTTAATACTCCAATTTTTAATAGAAAATTAGCTTTGATAATCCAAAGCTTGACAAAAGAATTTAAGTCTGGAGTTTCAAAGTCAAATTTTGTTAAAACTTTGGAGTATTTTTTTTGGCCAAATTAAAACATTGGTTTATTAAAGTTGAATTTCATAATCTTATGGGCAAAATGAAACTTTGGGGGTATCAAAGTAAAAAATTAAGGCACACTTTAGGATATTCAAGTGTGAATAGCCCGTAATTTTTTTACTATCAATAAACAGGCTCCGACATTTTCTTAGAGAAAGAAAATGATGATTACTTCTGTGTTTGTTGTAGGAGGAAGTGGAGATTGATGCGAGGTTGATGGAGCAGGGGGAGAACGGAGAGGGAAAGCTGTCGGCGGTGCTTGTGGAGGTGAGGAGGAAGGAGGGAGGGAGGATGGTGGCTTTAGGACGTCAATGGATGGCTTCAACTCGTCCAGACAAACACCGAAGGAGTAATCTTTAACGATACAAATGAATAATATTCTGCATGTGACGGGGATGCTTTGATTCATACAGATAGGATAGCTTTTTAGATCATGTTTGTTTTTGGGTGTGAGATGATCTGATATTGGTTTGTACTCTCAGATTATTAGAGAAGATTATCTGCTGAGAGAGATTATATTCAAAGCTATGATATTGAGATAAATGAAATATCTTTTCTTTTGTGTTGCACCAAATAAATAATAAATGCTCCATATAAAATGTTAAAACGAGGTAAATTTAAAAAAATGCTTGTATTTAGATGAACTTCATTTAATCATGGTGCTATTCTTTAGTGTTTGAGATAAAGTAGCAACAGATGCGTGGGACGATGCACTATCGATCCTATCAGAACTGGTCGCATGCAGCAATCAATCGGTT